CTCCGTCGAGGGCGTGTCTCCGCCAGCAGCCAATGGGCTCTGCCCACCTCCCTCCTCCACAGCGTTCGTTCTAATCGTGGCCTGTGACGTTTGGAGAGCCGGCGCGGAGGGAGTTACGGAAGCCGAGAGGGGCGTGGCATTTTAGTCGCTGGGAAGCCGGGAAGCGGAGGCAAGATGGTTTACATCTCGAATGGTGAGTTGGAGTGGCTGTGGGGGTGGCCGATTTCCAGGCAGGCCGGATTTCGGAATTTTGTTTTCCCATCCTAGCTCGCCCGGCCCAGGCCCCCGAGCGGCTTCCCCGGCTTTCGTGTGACCGGGCGGAGCTGGATGCGAAATCGCCCCAGCCTAGAGCGCGTCAGCGTTTGTCCCCTTTGCTGACGACGATCGGGGGCCGAGGTCCCCTGGAGTGGGGTCCTGCGGACGTGAAGCTAAGCACGGAGATCTCGGAGCCCTTGCCTTTGTACAGCGAGCTTCTGATGGCGGATTTGCGAAAGTGGTCTTTGCTCTCGGGCGTGGCTGTCCTTAACTAGTGGAGAATGGGATGTTGACTTGGTACATGTTGCGCTTTCTTTCTTTGCCTTGAGCACTGTTAGAGCTCCTGTGCTTATCGCCTCCTTTAGTCTTTGTAACTGCCTAGTCAGGTAATGTTTTATCCCTGTCTTAAGGATGGAGACTGAGGCCAGAGGCCCAGGATCACAAAAGTAGTTAATGGCTGAGTTCGAATTCGAACCCAGGTAGGTTAGGATCAGCAGCCTTGTCAACCATACTTATGGTTTCTCTAAAAAAAAAAAAAAAAAAAAAAAAAATCCCCAAACCAGAACTAGCCTAAGGCCATAATTAGATAAAAGCTTTGGATAGGCTCTTCCCCCAAAAGAGTGTAGCCAGTCATATACCCAACTTTTTGCCTGATTTTCCAGGAACTAAAGAAAAAGCACCCTTGTCTCTAGGAGCAAATTAATTATCATAGGAATAGAGGATCTGAGAGAGACTTAATTCTGTGAGTTTACAAAGGAAATGACTGGAAAGAAAAGACATAGTATAATGGATGAGATCAGTGTCAGACCAGCTGCTGCTCACTCAGGTGATATTCCGTGGTGCAATGTTAGTAGTTCTTGGATCACTGGAAGTAGGTACTGGTTCTACTTGAATCATGTGTTTATCTCCAGACTGTTAGGGCAGTCGGTGAGAAGTCTTGACTGAGTGTACTTTGCATTTCTTTGCTTTACCAAATCCTATCTCCCACTTTAAAAATCCTGGAAACAAATTGGTTGGTGGACACTAAAGGAAAGCATCAAAATTTAATTTCATCTTAGTTTTGGACACTTGCAGACTTTAGTTTGTCTTATATTATTTGTGATTAAGACTAGTAGCTTCTATTTATGCATTATTGAGTAATTCCTTGTATTTGTTGAATGCTTTAATGTATATACAATATTCTATTTGAGCCACATAAATATCCTGTTAGGACCTTTTATCTCCCCTAACCTTTTTTTAAAATTTTGAGACAGGGTCTCACTAAGTTGCTGAGCCTGGCCTGTTGAACCTGCCATCCTCCTCCTTCAGCTTCCTGAATTGCTGGGATTATAGGCGTGCCCCACCTCGCCCAACTTTATCTCACTTTTATAGTTGAGAAATGTAGTTTTATTCAAGCACCTTTTTTCCCTCTGGGGATACTAGAGGACAGGGGCTTCTGCCTTTACAATCTGGCATGGGGAAGGGCAAACAAAAAGATAGACTGATGGGTGTACATACTGTACATTCTTTAAAATCACAACCGAAGAATTGGTGGGTTCCAGTTAGACCCTTTTTAGAATTGTACTTGTTGGCACAAAATATTTCTATTTCTATCTTATGATTTTCCCCTGAAAATTCCATGTGATGGATATTCCTGAAATACTTTTTCTCAGGCAAGAGAAATGTCACATCAACCCATAAAGCAGAGCTGATAAGAGGCAGAACCAAGCCTGTACCCCCTTTTTTGACTGTGTAGCCAGTTTTTCTCACCACCTCAATGAGAGCTTAGATCCAGGTGGGTACCTGAGAATAAGTTGGTCAAGGAAAGAGGAAAAGTAAACCAGGGCAGAAGTGGTAAGCAGATAAAGCCCTTGGGACCTTGGAGAGACAGTTATTCTTTGCCCTAGATATTCTGACCTCTTGAGTTGCAAGACTGAAACACTGGAGTATAAACTTTTCATGTAGTAGCTGCTGTTATTTAAAAGTACTTTGAAAAATTAGGTCCAGTTTTGCTTGAGACAAAGCTAGAGTTTATTGTTAGGCTCAAGAGCATCTTGTTATAGAAAATAGGGATCATTTTAATGAAGGACAGGCCACTTCCCTTCAGTATTTATAGCCTGGGGACTCTTTGATTTATAGGAATTTCATTAAAATAACTCATTCTGAAAATTTGTGAAAGTATGTTTAAACAATCTTTTCATACAGACAAGAGATTTTGCAAGTGAAAAAATATTTTTTTTTTCCTTTCTATCCACCCAAGCCATTTGTTTCTTCAGAATACTTGAATAAAGAGATGTTTATACCATGTTCTCAGCAGCATGATTCAGTATAAGAAACTTGAGTCTACTGACAAATGAATGGATAAATGTATATACATACTCTGGAGTATTAATCCTAAAAAGGAAGGAAAGTTTGACAAATGCTACAATGTGGATGTAACTTATAAGACACTATTAGGTGAAATAAGCTAATCACAAAAGAAGACATATGATTCTTTTTTTTTTTTTTGGTACTGGGGATTAAACCCAGAGGCACTTTACCATAGAATCACATCTCTAGTCCTTTTGTTTTTTGAGATAGGGTCTTGCTAAATTACTTAGGACCTCACCAAGTTGCTGAGGCTGGCCTCAAATTTGTGATCCTCCTGCCTCAGTCTTCCAAGTTGCTGGGATTACCTGCCCGGCTCCCTATAATTTCTCTTATATGAGGTTCCTACAAGTCAAATTCTTAGAGACAGAAATAATAGTTATTGCCAAAGGCTGGAGGAAGGAGGTAATGGGCAGTTAGAGTTTAATTAGTGAGGAGTTTCAGTTGGGGAAGACTAAAGTCTTGGAGGTGGATGGTAGTGATGGTTTCAGAACAGCATGAATGTATTTAATGCCACATACCTATGCTTAAAAATGGGGTAAATTTTATTATGTAAATTTTATCACTAAAATGTTTTGTTATATGTATTTTACTAATAAAAACAAAAGAGGTCTCAGAGAAATATTTGAATAGAATGAAGTCAACCACTCGACTTATATACCAGAGGTAAGCATTTGATATATTAAAGGAATGATCCCTGGATTATGGAGCTTTACTTCCCTGAACCCTTCCTTAGAATGATACATACATTGTAGACTACTTCTTGTGTTGGCTATAGAAACAGCTGACTGAATTTATCATTGTTGCCTACCTAAATGTAATGCTGCTTGGGTCAGAAATTTGTAGTACTCACCAAAGTTTCTTTATTCTTTTCTATAGGACAAGTGTTGGACAGCCGGAGTCAGTCCCCATGGAGACTATCTTTGATAACAGATTTCTTTTGGGGAATAGCTGAGTTTGTGGTTTTGTTGTAAGTATACTAGTGTTCTTAGTTGCTCTGATGTTTAAGTTGACTGAAGTATATTAGTATATTATGTGGCATATCTTCAGCTTAGCTCTCCTGAAGCAGTTAATTGTAATTTTCAAATCATTTTTGGTAAGGGCAGTTGAGATTCATTTAATGATAAAGCTGCCACCACCAAACATCTTCCAATTAAGTTAGCTGGGTTCGCTTAACTTTGTAACCATTTCAATCTGCAGCCAGGCCTGTCAATTCTGTTGTCAAATGACTATGCTTTGCATTCTGTCTACTGATTCCTTTTATTCTACATTATGTGTAATAACTGAATAAGGAGAATTTTTATCCTGGTTTTTTTTAAAAAAACCCAAATCCTAAGTAGTTAACTTTTTAAAATAAAGACAGAATTGATGCAAAGAAGACAACAATTTAAACTTCCTCAATAATTTCAAGCAATTCTTATTTAAGTGCATTTTTGGTCTTTCATGTGCTTGTTTTATGAGAACTACTAATAAGTCTTATGGTACGTTTGAATGTGTATTTGACTGTCTTGTAAAGTACTTGCAGAGTTGCAAAATCATGGGAGACAGTTCCTTCTTCATATTGCAAGGGGTAGCAGGATTGGCGTGATTATGGATGTTGGACATCAGTGGAAGTTATTCCATGTGGAGAAAACCATATGCAGGTTGACAGAGGAGTGTGAATATCGAGCTGTGGGCTTCATACTTAGTTTGCTTGTAGTTGTGGTCTAGAAAGCTCAATTTTATGGCTGCATGGAACATAAATAAAAAGGGGTAGAGTATAAAATGAAAGAGAGAGTTCCATAGAAAAATTCAGCTAGACACAGGTGAGGTCCTAAATTATGTGCAAAACTCATTTAAAGTGTTTTACATATCCCAACTACTCCATATCCATTTACTGTTTTATTCTTAAATTTACTGTTAAATCCTTCTTCTTCACAAATAAAGAAAATTCCCTTTCAATGGAGTTCCAGAAGCCCTGTGCCTCTGCCACACCACTGTCACCCCATTCCTTCCCAAGATAATGTTAGGCAAAGGCTGTTGGCAGGGGAAAGGCAGGGGTGAGGAAGGTGAGACACTATGAAAACGGACTCTGGTACCTGACACTTGATGTAGAGTGGAGGAAGGAAATCAGAGAGGACTCTAGTTTCATGCTCAGTCTCAGGGAATTATTAGCAAATAAGTGTGGGTTTGGCAGAAAACATAATACTTAATTGAGACACATGTATAAGCTAGATCCTGTAGACCTGTGGGTGCAAGAAATGTAGGTTTGGCACTACTGACTAGCTTTATACATCTTTTCACAAAAATGATAGTTAAAACCATGGAAATATATTTTTAATGTGGTCAAAAGTGATACCTCAGTTGTTTTCTGTTCTTTGTTTCAGTTTTAAAACTCTGCTTCAGCAAGATGTGAAAAAAAGAAGAGGCTATGGAAACTCATCCGATTCCAGATATGATGATGGAAGAGGGTATGGCTTTTTAAAATTGATAATAGTTGTTTATTATAATTGCATTACATATTTTGGGTGAAGTTAGACTAGTGGAAGTTAACAGTTAAATTCCATTTCACAAAAAATTGATGAATTACTGTAAATCAAAAATCATGTTGCCTCTGATTTGATAAACAGTTGATTTGGCAAAGCTAAAGTATACATTCAACATCCTACGGGAGCCTGGTGTGATGGTGCACACCTATAATCCCAGCAGCTCAGGAGGTTGAAGCTGGGGGATCACAAGTTCAGTCTCAGCAATTTAGCGAGGCTGTAAGCAATTCAGAGAGACCCTGTCTTTACATAAAATATAAAAAAGGGCTGGGGCTATAGCTCAGTGGTTAAGTAACCCTGAGCTTAGTCCCCGGTTTCCCACCCCCCCAAAAAAAATCCTACAGGAAAAGTCGAAATTAGAAGATGAAAACTGATGGCTAACATTAAAGATTTCAATTTACAGTATAAATTTCCATCTGCTAATGAAAATCTCAGAAGGTCAGATAGCATGGGCTGGGTTTTTGTTTCCACGTGGTAGAAATCAGCCTGAGTTGCTGGAGGCTTGTTCATCCTAATCCTGGCTTGACTGTTTCCTCACTTGCATTAGGTCTCTAGTTCCTATAAGTATTTGAATTTTCAACTCCTGATCCAAATGGTAGTTCCTATTTTAAAGACTCTTTAAGGATCATGTGATGATTGAAAAATGAAAGGGTCTAGTTAAATGTTCGAAGGAATCCATTGAAATTATGTCTACTAAAGAGTAGATACTAACTTTGTCTTTTACCAGGCCACCAGGAAACCCTCCCCGAAGAATGGGTCGAATCAATCATCTTCAGGGCCCTAGCCCTCCCCCAATGGGTGGTGGATGAGGAAGGTAACTTAAAATCTGAAATTATTTTCTAAGCTTTTATTTTGAAAATGTCTCCTTAGGAATATTTCCTTTAGGAAAACTTAAGTCATTCAACATTTTATAATTACTCAGACATTGTTTGGGAAAATATTTCTCTCTTAACCCCTGGGCAGTTTGTCAACTTTGTTATCAAAGTATCTTTTGAGAAAGGTATTATAATCCCATGTAACATGTTGAGCTTTATATAGGTCCAATTGAATAACTGGTAACTAATATTACAACCTTTCTTTTAGGTAAACGTCTGCTCTAAGAAGCAGACAACTAAACGTACACATTCATAGAAGAAGGAAACCATTAAGAAGTGGAGGGCTACCATGCTAGACAAGTGGAGGAATGTGTACGTCTAAATAAGGATTGCTCTGTGTCCTCACAGATCAATGAGGTCACGCTGGGAATTCCCTCTGCAGGGATCTGGCCTGACTGACATGCAATTCCATAAATGCACATGTTTGTCTCATTATCTTTTTTGTATAGTTTATTAAAGTATTAATATAGTTTTAATAAGTAAATATTTTTAGGTTGTAAAACTGGTTCCTCATCTTTATATAATTAATCATAAAACACTCTAAACCTGAAGAAAATAAAGGCTGCATATTCAGTGCTTGTGTCCCTTTTTTCAATTGTACATGGTTAATTTGTTCTTGTGTTTATTTCAGTAGTATGCATAAAATCTGTGCTCTTGAATTAATTTTTGTCTTTAATATAATTTGTCCCATCATGTCTGATTTTTATCAGGTATAATTATCAGGGTACTTATAAAGCTATTGCCAACAAACCTGACCTTCAAAATGGAGATTTGCTGCCTAATCTTTAAAACCATAGACTTTGATGTTATCTCAACAAATTTGAATTCTATACTACTTCTTAGGATTCTGCCTATTGGCTTTAAATACCATCCGAATACAGATAACTTTCACATTTTTCACTAAGTGGAAAACCCTGTGAGACTAGGAATTTTGTCTTTGCCACCATCCTTTGAACAATGATTACATGTTAATAGGCGCTGACATATTGATTAGTAAAACGAATGATACAGATAATTCTATTTTCAATGCATAACAGGCTTTGAAATCAAAGTGATTGGGTTAAAGCTTTTTAGAATAAACATTTATCAATATTTATTTAACCCTGTTTGTCAGGAAATAGGGTTGTAGTAGCATAAGACACTGGTTTTCAAAGATAAGGAAACAATTATAATACAAGTTTTAGAATAAGGAAAAATATTTTGACAACTCAATTCTGCCAGGCATCTTTTACACATTTTTTCTGACAAAATGAGGTAGGTAGGTGATATTTAAGTTATAAAGATACATGCAAGTACGCAGTAAGTTTAGTAACTCTAAAGTTGTGTGGCGAGAGAATGGCAGAGACATTGTGTTAAACCTCCACCTGACCATAGTGGGAGAGATCATGGTAGAGGCCACAAAGGTGATAGCTTAGTGTTACCAAAGGCTTCTGAGCATGTGACCTATGACCGACCCTCTTTTGCCTCCCAAGACTGCTGCTGCAGGACTCCTTCCTCAGGACATTTAGCTGTCCTGCTCCATACTTAGGTTGAATGTCTTAGTGCAGAACATAGTCATTTGAGGAGCTTGTGTTGAGATATCTTGTCTTTGTTATTCTTTAACTTATGATTTTCGTTTGGGTCATTTTGTCCCAGTTTACTCACCATGTGCGCTGAAGGTAACAGGATAAGGCAAAGGCTGCCTTCTGGTGAAGCTTCCAGTCCAATGTGAGACAGTAAACAAGCAGGCAAGATAACGACAGACTAATGCTTCATTTGTGCTTCCAAGGAAATAGGAGGATAGGATAACTTGGAAAGGCCTAAGGCAGCATTCGAGTGAACATACACAGGACGATTCTGGGAAAGGCTTGGCATGTCAGAAAAATCAAGTATAGCTAGAAATGCCAAGGAAAATTGGTAGAAAGTGAAATTAGAAATGTGGCAGGACCTTGATGAAATATGGCCTTAACGGTGATCTGTTTCAATTATGTCCAAAGAGTGAAGGGAAACCATGAAAGTATAAAGCATGGGTGTGACATCTTGTTTTTCTTTAGGATAACTCCCTGATAAGATTTTACTAAGTGGAGTGCTGGAAATGGTATTGAACTGTTTTTGTAATATTAACATTTGGGCAGCTGCAGGACCTACTTGTACAGGGGACACGGCTGGAAAACAAGAAGTCTAGTTATTGTACTAGTATATGAAAAAATGCTCAATATCTTTAGCCATCAGGGAAATGCAAGTCAAAACTGCATTGAGATTCAATCTCACCCCCATCAGAATGTTTTACCCCAGGCTATGATCAAGAATACAAAAAAAGAGCCCTTGTGGTAGTGCATGCCTGTAATCCCAGTGGCTAGGGAGGCTGAGACAGGAGGATCTCAAGTTCAAAGCCAGCTTCAACAACTTCGAGGTACTAAGCAACTTAGTGAGACCCTGTCTCTAAATAAAATACAAAATAGGGCTGGGGGTGTGGCTCAGTGGTAGAGTGCCCCTGAGTTCAAGTTCAAACACTGGTACCAAAAAAAAAATACAAAAAAGGATGCTTTGAGGATAAGGGGGAAAGGAACCCTTACACACTGTTGGTAGGAATGTGAATTATCAGCATGGAGATACTTCAAAAACCAAAGATAGAACTACGATATGATCCAGTTATACCACTCCTGGGTGTATACTCAAAGGAATTAAATTCAGCACATGCTAGAAATAACTGCGTACCAGTGTTTATTATAGCAAAATTCACAGTAGCCAAGTTATGGAATCAGCTTAGGTGCATGTCAATGGATGAAAGAATTTCAAAAAATGTGGCATAGTTACACGATGGAGTATTATTCACTCATAAAGAAGCATTTATGCCATTTGCAGAAAAATGAATGGAACTAGAGATTATGTTAACTGATATAAGTCAGAAAAGTATGAGGTTTTACCTCATGGAATCTGGGGCAGGGGGATGGACACAAAAATAACAGGGAGACTTCTAAAGAGGAAATGGGTCATGAGTGATGGGAGAGTGGATGTAAGCAAAGTAAGTTATTTGCCTATATGAAAATGCCACAATGAAACCCATTATTCTGCATAATTAAAATGCACTTATATTTTTTAAAGAGGTTATTGTAGGCTGGGGGTGTAGGTCTGTGGTAGAGGGTTTGCCTAGCTTATCCAAGGCCCTGGGTGGGTAGGGGTTGTTGTCATTCAGGTGAGATGTTGATGCTTTGGGCTAGGTAAAGATAGTATGAATGGAGAAGAAGATGCATTCAAGGTATGATAAAGACTGCAGGATTTGCTGATGGTTTGGAAGCAAAAGCTGTGGACAGTTCATCAAAATAATTTACTGAGCTGGTAAAAGTTAGAGTGGGTTCTATTGTTTGTTTTTTGGTGGGTAGGATGGGTAATCAAGAGTTTCATCTTAACCCAGCCGAGTGGTGCACACCTGTAATCCCAGTAGCTTGGAAGGCTGAGGCAGGAGGATTGCGAGTTCAAAGCCAGCCTCAGGAAAAGCAAGGTGTGAAGCAACTCAGTAAGACCCTGTCTCCAAATAAACTACAAAAATAGAGCTGGAGATGTGACTCAGTGGTACCTCCTCCCACCCTCCGCCCTGTCAAAGTTAAATTTAACATAAATTTAAGTTTGCAATGCTTTGTAGATGTCCAATTGGAGATAATAGGCCATTGGATAACAATCTAGATCCCAGGGAGAGGTCCAAACTGGAGATACACATTTGGGAATCATATTTATAGTAAAATCCATGAAACGTTATAAAGTCATCTAAGGAGACCTTGCCCCAAAGAACCCCAATATCAGAGAACGGATTCAACACGATCAGCAAAATATGAGAACTAGGAGCATGTATGTTGTCTGAGAAGCCTGGAGAAGAGACACCTGTTAAGACAAAATGAGACTCTCGGGCTGGGGATATAGCTTAGTTGGTAGCGTGCTTGCCTTGCATGCACAAGACCTTGGGTTCAAACCCCAGCACCTCACAAAAATGAAGTTTTAAAATGAGACTCTGTCGGCGGGACTACGTAAAGCGGTCGAAAACCCATTATGTTGCTGTCATCCTACCGTAAGAACTATCTACAGCAACATCCACCCAATCTCTGCTACTGCACAGCCCCGCCTTTCCCGCTTTCCCAGAATCCTCCGAGCCGACGCCCGCGGCGGCCATTTTGATTGTGGGCAGCCCTGCGGGAAATTGCGCCTGCGCGGTGGCCTTTCCGCTCTGGAGGTCTAGCTGAGGAAGAGGCTGGTGGGCGTCCGCCGCCACGATGACCCAGGCTGAGAAGGGGGACGCAGAAAACGGGAAGGAGAAGGGCGGGGAGAAGGAGAAGGAGCAGCGCGGCGTGAAGCGGCCCATCGTGCCAGCGCTGGTGCCGGAATCGCTGCAGGAGGTGGGGCGCCGGGGGCCGGACTCAGGACCCCACGCCTAGCCTAGGTCCGCTGGGGCCAGGCCGGGGCTCAGAACGCGGCCGAGGAAGGGAGGCCTGGCAGCCGTTGGAAGGGGTCGGGTTTCCCCCCTAGAGGATCGTATCACTAGTGGGTGGTGCCGCGAAGTGGTCGTTTCGCGCCGGTTGCGGGCTTTGAGGGAACGCGGTGCGCACCAGAGTCTGGCGGTCAGTGCGCCAGGCTCTGAGCCCCGCGTCCCCAGCCCGGAAACTACGACCGTGCTATCACGTGCCTCCCAAGTTGCTCTGAGGTTTACATGGCCTCAGGGAGAGTTTAGCACCCGGCTGGTCCACGGGGAGCTGCAGCTGATGATTGTTACATGTTCAGGTGTTTTCCATTGTTAGCAAAGATTCTTCAAACTTCAAAGCAAGGAGAAGGTGGACTTTTTTCTCTAGAGATTGAGACCTGCCTGTTCAGAAGAGAACAAGATTAAGTCAGATTTACCAGGAAAAACAAATTTGCATTAGCTTGGCATGAGAGGAGCTTTATTGTACATTTGCAAGCACTTTATTCATCAGTGAAGAAAACACCTTCTCATAGGAAAACTGGAAAAGACAATGCATAATTCACAAAGAAATAAGGAGGCATTAAATGCTCAGAATTTCACGTTGTCATCTGAGCCAGCTTCCTCACCCATGGGTGGGTTAGAACAGTTGTAAAATGCCTAGCAGAGTGCCTGGCACATGGGAAGCCCTCGGGGTAATTATTACTGTTGCAGAAGCCTGGTTTCTCCAGTTGAAGGAGCAGGCTAGATGGTCTGTAGTGGCCTTGCCTGTTTCTACTCCCTGTCATTCTCCCACTTTATACAGGAGCCTATTCCTAGTAGAGCTTGCTGTTGTGGGGGGCACAGATAACAGAACATGGTGTGGAATGGGCTAGTGCAGAGGATTATACAGCAGACAGCAGGCACTTCCTTCTGCCCTGACAGGGCAGGTTTCTCCAAAGGAGGTAACATCTGGACTGAAACCTGAAGATAATTAGGAGTTAGCAGGGGAAGTTCAGAAAGGGAAGGAGAACAGCATGGAAGACACTTGGGCCTAGAGAGGATAGGCAGTAAATTAGGATGTCTGGAATTGAGGAAGATAGCAGAAGCCATATTGTGAAGATTATATAAGCTGGAATATGGCATCTTCTGAAGGCAATGGAGAACT